AATTAAAAAACAGAAACTTCAACACACCTCAACCAACAGCTGCCGGTATTCTGGTTTTGGAACACTACTTAAAAATTCCTCAACTTTAAGTGCAAAGTTTTTTTCTCCTTCCGTCATCTCATCCATCGTGGGAAACTGAAAGTGCATGAAATATGATGTGAAATTGAGGAGAAATTATCAACCTCGGTATCCAATAAAATTTTACAGGAAACTTTGGTGACGTCAGCGTTATATTCCAACGGCTCTTCAAACTATGCTATGCACACAATTTCGTTCAACCCAACAATTATAAACAATCTAAACATTTGGGTTAATATATATTTGTTTTCAATGTTGGTGCACATTTTCGGCATATTTATGTTAGACAACAAACTTTGAAGTTTTTTAGAATTTTGCACGAGATATCATCGTCATCTCTATTTCAATCGTCATGTCAATGCATCCAAGATAGGAAATTGCACAGAAAATTCTACCAATAAATGAAAAACTTTACCGACTATATCTTGTAATTATATTTGTTCGCCTCATTAGTATTCAGTGCACGTCAGCAAATAAAATCTACGCATGCTTTGTTAAGACGAGCTAGCTTTCAATTTGTGGCCGCAATTTCTGGTCATGCCCTTACCTTGGGTAATGATGACCTCGATAGCTCAAAACCACTGTCTGAACGACCCAAAATTTTCCAAACTAAAATTGAATTGTAAATAATATTTTTTGCTAATACTATGACAGAATTTTGATACGAATTTGATTTATTATAAGTTGATAGGCATTACCCATAGAATAGAAACCAGTAGGGACTCGGTGCATTGCTCCATTGAGTTGACGCTGTTCTAGAACATTTCTATAAGAATATCCGCGACCGAATTTAGAGCAAAACGCGCACTCTGTGCGAATCTTGAACAAGATAATTATTATTACTATACACTCGCGCGCACTTAACCAATCAGTAATCGTTGAGAAGGTCACGTGCCGATCCAATATTTTACGATACTGGGCTCAGAAGAATCCAATAAGATATAATGTAGATACTATTCACAGATAAAGATATTCTATATTCTATATTTTTGCACTGTATAGCTATATAAAATACACGCATGGGACGTTTTTTGCAATTTTAATATCAAAATATTGAGCGGGCAACTATTTTCATTTATAGCTATTTTCATGGTTTGAAATCTACAAGACAAACTTATGGCAGCCATGTTGGAGAAAAATACGTTTCAAATACAATCGCTGCTAATGATATTCTTTTGTAAGCGTTTTTCCAACATGTCCTTCATGACGTCAACTGCGAACCAATAATTGTTTAGGCTGGATTTATATTGCACAACTTTTGCCTAAAACTGTCGCATGCCACCTGCTTACAACTTGAGTTGTACTGTGTAAATCAAGCACACAACTCACCTACGACAACGTAGGCAATGCCATATTGTGCCTTGGTTTCCTGCACAATATTATATAGTACAACGTAGACTAAGCTTTCAATACCTTGGAGCCAGATCAAGCCCGTTGATACGTCCTTCACATGTTAAAACAATCCAAAGTAACGCTTTTACTCGACTTGGAGGAAACGTGTAGACTGACTATGAATAACAAATTGTAAATAATAATGTGAATTTCGATTTTTAGATCCCTCATATTGCAATTTCTATATCACAATATAAATGAACATACATGTAAATAACATCTAATCGTGTGGGCGAAAAGTGCATGGGACAAAATATTATTTTTGTCATGAAAGGGTGATGATCCTCCGATTAGGATAATAAACTAGAAGGCAATCGCAGAGTGCATACCTCCGCCAGCGAATTAAGTTACGTATCATGCATAATTTATACAATGGGCTAATTACGCATTCAGTTAACTCTGCCCGGCAGAGCAAGACAAACTTTTCCTAATTTCTCATTCCATTTTCACCCACATTTAACGAAAATATAATCAATAAGTCCTTGGGCAATATCCATGGCAGAGGTAATTATGTCAAACGAAACGAACCTAGAAGTTCTAGAAAGTGTTTACCTCGATATTTTCATTTGGAAAATGTCTTTCTAGCAAATTTTTCATTTCTTGAACTATCCATCTAAAACATGAAACTTTGTAAATGTCTTTCCAGAGTCACTGTAGTTTGTATAGTAGTTCTAGTGTAAGATGATGTAGTCGTTACTATATATACTACTATAATTGCACTCCAAAAACTGCAATGGCTATACTACTTTATATCGTTTATATCATACCCAACTCTAATTTTCAACATTCCATTATAGACATCAGGATTTGTAGAAATAAACGATGCAAGATAGATTAACATCTGTATATACAAAAGTAAGCAAAGACGATCAAATTTAATTAATATAAAATTAAATTTATAAAATTAAATTTAATTAGATTAAACTGAATATATAAGACTGATTTAGTTCGGTCATAATAGGTAACGAAAAACACCTACTTCTTGTTGTAAGACGGCCTCACGCACATCATAAGGGCTGCAGTATTCAAACAAAATTTTCTAAAACATAAAAAATAGTTTAGCTTTATCTCTTATGATAAACATTTTATTGAGATAATTGCAAATATTTCAAATTTGTTTCAACATTTTGTCTGTCACAATCCTGTTTAATCGTGTTAATAATAGCTTTTAATCCATATGTGTTGTATTTGTGTCCAATTTCGTATCATACACATGCAGTGTTAATTATTATAAAATATCACTCAAATACAAATGTTTCGCGACCTACCTACCCTTAATAAAAACATAGCTATATGATAACTTAAAAAAACATTAATAATTCATGAAGAAAATTCAAAAGAAATGAATGTTTAATCAATGTTTGTAAATCGGATAAACATAAAACTTCAGCTTTGATTTTCTCGGCTTAGACAATGTTTATTTTTAAAATTACTTCGCCAATGAACTCATAAGATGGATCGTTTTTTAAGCACGTTAAAACATTCGCATCCGATCTTTATCTGATATACAAACTCAAGCCAAAACCTTCGGCTCGAGTTTGTATATCAGATAAAGATCGGCATGCTGCGAATGTTTTAAATGTTTTAACTATATAGTCCTTAAAATGCTCATTAATAATTCATAAACCTTGTGGCAAATCATGTCAGCCATAAGATGTCACGTGGAGTTACTTTATATCTGATAAAGCATGTGGCATTATATAATTGTTCATCCTAATTAGTATGATTATATAATGGTTCATCCTAATTAGTATTCTTCTCGGCTGCGCCTCGCGTTTTATATCTGATAAAACACTCCTACTCGTGTTTTAAATAGTACTTAAACCATGCAATTATTTTTTTGTCTTGCCGAAAATTCTGCATATACTCATTCACATCAGCCAGAAAATTCTTTCCTACCTCAATTGCTCCCGGAGTTAAAGGTTCATAAACAACTCTTTCTTCATGACCAAACATACCCAATGTTACCTGTTGCAAAACAAACAAGATTTTTCCTTAATAAGAAATTCATATACGCGGAATATTATCAACTTACAAACTCAAGACACAACAGTCGTTGAAAAGCCTGAAAGTGATATCTCGACTTCCTTTCAAAGATATTCTCACACCTAACTAATTACAAGCGTGCAGTTTTCTTTCAGGGTTGGGGTTTTATGTATCTCTATAGTGAGTGCTTTCAGGATACAAAGGTGATGCACGGATATGAAAATTCACTGATATTCCGATTACCGATATTCAAGGCCCATATTTTTTCACTTCGAAATTCACAAATGGCAATTGGACTTCCTGTAGAAAATTCTTCATAACTAAGTGTTCAGAGTGGCCAATCATGTATTAACACTTACAGTATACCATACATGTATACATGCTAACAAAAATATGTAGACTTCAATGATTTGGATTCTTGCACTTCACTTGGTGGAATTAATATTAGAATGAGTGAGAATATATACATTTTAAGATCTAACCAGGAACGACTGCGAAAAATGCAGCACAAGGTCCTCTGGTAGGAATTGACCATACGGCCTGCCTAGGTTCAATTCCTACCAAAGGACCTTGTGCCTGCATTTTTCGAAGTCGTTCCTTGTTAGGTCTTAAAATGTATATATTCTCACTTGTATTACAAACCCTAACATTCTAACAACAATATGTTGAATGTTACAATGAAATTGAAATTAAAAATATACTCTAAATTTAAAATATATTGTATCAATTTGTTATATATAAAAATTGGCAACAAAAATACCGATACCGATATTTTGAATTTAAGGTCAATATACCGATCTCCAATACGCCAACATGGATATTGGTGCATCACTACTGTACAAAGGGATACCTACCACTTTTCCATGAACCAATATTGTTGATATTGCTGGAGCCAAACTATCCACAATCTTCCTCAGTAATCCACTGCAGTGGCGTATAACATCCCAATCTTGAACACGTCCGGCTTTGAGGTATAATTTATGAACTAATTCATCCAGGGAGCCTATGTAAACATGATATAAGGTATACCATGCAAAAATGAACAGTCAACTTGACCATGCAATCTTAATAAAATGCAAACTATTTTATGGGGTTTCCTGAAGAAACATAATTGCAGACCATTGATACTACTTGGGTGGCGTTTGCTGTATCCGAATAGGTTGTCGTATAAGGGCATTTGAGAAAGACCCTGGGAATGAGGTTGGTATAAGGGTCGCCAATCGATATGAACAGGTTTTACGGTTTATTGGTCGATCATAGCAATAAATAATAATTTATCCTGGCTATTTTGATGTGAAATTTGACTCTGACCATGTTTAGTAAATCTTTCGTTCGCATTTGTCCTCGATATGTTTAATTTAATAATCGCAGAAATGAAATGATATTTTCCAAAATTGCATGCTGTGCGCATGTTCAGGGCACATTAAAAACCACCATATATTTTTAAAGGACTTTACCTTCTGGTGTCACGCACTTCATTCCTTCACGTTTTATCAACAATTCCAGGATGAAAACTTCTTTATTCATCGCCTCAGATTTGGTTAACAACTGCAGCAAGTCCTCGCTTGATGTTAAACGAAGTTCGTCTTTATTGAAACACTTTTCTTTGTGTACTACGAGACGTTCCTCCTCTGTTGTGTCGGCTATGGTGTGAACTGAAACTTCTTGTTCAGAAAATGAATCTTCTTTGATCCTCTCAAAAACAAAATCTTCTTCAACTTGTTGTTCACTGCTAGCACTGCTTTTACTGCTGTATGACAAGAGGCAACGGAAGTACAATATTTAAACTGGAATGACCTATTTAATTGATCATGCGTGCATTGCTTATCTATCCAATTCATGGATTTATTTATCGGTTTAGTTTGATTAACAGTCTTTGATTTATCTAGTCTAACAGCAAGTATATTTTGTGTAAATATCGAGATTTTGGGCACTCGCTCGATAGAACTAATAGTCGAAGGATTTTTGTAGATAGAAATTTCTAGAGGAAGATTATATACAATTTTCAGAGCAAACCAGGAGCAGTTGCATAAAATGCAACTATAGGTCCTCTCGCAGGAATCGAACCGGCGGTCCTGCGATTCCGTTGCAGAGCTCTAACCAACTGAGGCAGAGCTAGAGTCCTGTTGACGAATATTAACCGCAAGGTATTGTATATATTTCAAAAACTCAATAATTCAAGAGGAAAACACAAAGAAAAATCCGATAAGCGTGTCGTATCTTTAATGTGATAGAGATTTCCCTTGATTTACATAAACTTTATCTTTGATTTTCTCGACTTACACAACGTATTTTTTGAAAATTACTTCGCCAAAGAGATTGCTAGATCGATCGTTTTTGAAGCAATTTAAAACATGAGCAGTGCGTTTTATCAGACCTAAAGATACCCGGCTTCGCCTCGTATCTTTATATCTGATAAACCGCTCCTGCTCGTGTTTTAAATACTACATAGTGCATGGGCGATGCCAATGTAAAGCCGGTTTTCCACTAGCGACGTGGCAAAATGGATGCCGACAAAGGAAAAAGATCGCTTCGCGCCGTGAGAAAATTCGCTAGTGGAAAACCGGCTTAAGGTATGGGTAAATATCGAGATTCCGAGCATCTCCCTCGATAGAACTAGCAGTTGAGGGGTTTCTGTAAATTTCGAGTGCAAGATTATAAGAACCAGAGATTTAGTAGGAACCACTAAACTTTTACCGCTCCAGTGTAATATTACATACCATGCACAGGGGAAAACCTATTAACTGAACTAACTTAATTCTTACTGTACATAGCTATTTCATTGTAAAATTATCTCTTTACAGGACAAGTGCCATTCTTTATTGATGCAGTGTTACTAATAATAAACGAACAGTGTTATAAATAGTAAATTTTCAATAAAACTTCATTTATACTGCTTCTTCCTAAAAGTCCATGAGGTTCATCCTAATTTGGTCTACTGTTACTATACAGTTGGAAGCCTAAATTAAAAGAAAGCATTTACACTAAAGAGCAAGGGTCATCCCTTATTGGTGTGCTGTCTTGCAGGAAAAACCTGCAGGGGGGAACCTAAATGTTTCAAAGCAACGTACGTCTAAACCAACCTCACAACGTGACCAGTGTCTTTGAGAAAATCCAAGTGTTCAATACACGAACCAGAAATAAAGGTCTAAAAACAAATATATTTATTCAGCTAGCAGATTCTTCAAAACATTTGGTGATTTAGCCCAAAACAAAAAATATATTTAATATTGATACATTATAATTCAATATATGCTATATTGCGGACAGTACAAGGCCTAATATTAGCATAAACTACAATTAGTAGAACATTAATTTTGTGGCTTTGTGGAATAGCCCGAAATAGGTCAAAATGGATCAAAACTTACAACAATAGACATCTAAGAATGTTAGAGAAAAATTATTACAGCTACAGCAAGTATACCTGAAGTCGGCCTAGCCTGGTTTTCACTCCATCACATTCTCCTCTCTTTAATCGCGCCATGAGATCAAGAAATTCCTGAAAATGTGTTCCTCTGTATAGGGAAAAAGATTATTCAGATTGGTCTTGAATTTCCTGAGATCGTTTTAAATAATTCAGTAAGCCCGCCCTCTCTAATTAGCCCCTCCCCAATAAGCTACACCCCCTAAAATAACTAAATAAGCAGGCCCACAAATAATGCTTCAACATGTTGCTTACTTTACCTGGTATGATTGTCTCTAATAAGAAGACAGACTGTAGGTCGACCTCTCATATTCCAATTATTGCGGATAAAACTCAACTTTCTCTACAACCAATGAAATCTTTTTATCTTAAACAAGTATTAACTACAAAAAATCCTTCAAAATGTAAGGGAACGATTAACGCTATAAAGACGACTAAACTTATTAGTGGATGGTAAAAATAATTAGTTAACCCTTCACGATCATAGAGAATAATGACGGGTTAACTATTCTTATATTCTATCTTGCCGGTACGCTATTTCACTTTGAAATAAAGTAGCGAACCTGATTGCGTCCCCTGATTAATTTTCTCAAACCTTGAGTTTCGATATGAAACGTATACGTTTATGAGGTTATTAGGAGGCACAAGATTTCAGATAACCTTATCTCTGTCTGTTGCTAGAGGGAGCAAACCTACACAAAAAATAACTAACAATAAACTAACAAGTACCAGCTAACCTGAAATTCGTCAATCAAAAGTGACATATCCAAAGACATATAAAAGTCTCTTTCGTCCAAAATAATTGGATAACATAACACTGTGCAACCCAGAATTCTATAAATCTAAACAAACAACAAATATCTACTGTATTTTTCAAAAAGGTACGGACCAACATGGATTCGCATCCAAAATTGGTCAAATATATTGTCCATATACTTTTGTCATGTGCATGGTAATAAAATTTAAGGCCAGGCCAAATATTCTTCATTCCTAGAATCAGGGGCCGGTTGTATAAAACTCTTAATCACTTTTTTAATCACTATTTTTTAGTTAAATAGTGATTAACTCTCAAATAGGCGCTTCTTATTGGATGACGTTTGCACTTAACTATACTGTAGTTAACTTTAATCACTTTTTTATACAACCGGCCCCAGGTTATTAGTCGGGTAAGCAGGCAAACTTTTATTTAAAGGAAGCGGTTGGGTAAGAAACTAAACCACGCCCTAAAGATGGGTATAACCAACATCACCTTAGGAAGAAAATTTCTCAAACAAAAACTATAAAAAACAATTCATGCTAAACAGTATACTTTCGCTTTCATTTTCACTTGCTATAATTACTTTAACACATGCAATTACTAAAGACTATACTTTCGCACATTATGGCTCAAGTGTTGCGTTTCCTGACCTGTTAACATACTAGGCGAAATGACCCCTTTGGCAATAATTTACCTGACTCCTCGACATGTTTTGTATGTCCTTTGTAAGTCAGTACTCAGGGCTGCAAATAAATACTTGACTTGACAGGACATTTGTCCGATCACTTTTAATTTTGGTCGGACATAACTTGAATTTGGTCGGACAAAAACTAACATCACTAAATTTGGTCGGACATATATGTCACAAAATATATATAAGTCACGAGACAAGTATGTATAGCCATTCCGGCGCCACGTTAAGTAAAATGCTAGAATGCCTTATTGCAAAATGCAAATTGAGTGAATTGGCAATCAGATTTTGTCACAGCAAAAAAATGTGTGACAAATTTTTTTTGTGATCGGACCAATGTCCGATCAAAATTACTTTTGCTCGGACATTTGCCAAATTTAGTCGGACATTGTCCGATGTCCGACAGTAATTTGCAGCCCTGGTACTTGTCCCATCAATTATAAATAATAAGGTAATAAGGAACTTCGCTCCCCAATGTCTCAGAAGGAAGGCACACTATACGTTTTAATATTTGTATCATTCTGCACTTGCCATAGCGATAGCTATAGTGCACTTAAATGCACCGAATTGGAACGATAGGAAGAGCTATAGGGTAAATCTAACTTTCCTTTCTAATTAAAATGTCGGGTGGAGAAAAATATCGTATTCTCAAAGATTGAATCGATAGGAGCATTTTTTTCTTGCTCATTCCGCGTTATTAACAATTGCATGGCCTTTAATGGCGGTCTGGGGATGCAGGACCGGATAAGTTTGACATTAACAACCAACTAAATGACTTCGTCGAGCCTTAGTGGATTTAAAACTCATACAATCAGGATAACAGGTTATCTAAAATATAACAAACTTACCTTGCTTGTAGCTAATGAACCAAATGGTCGAGTAGGTCTTCCACTAAGAGCTAACTTCTTGTTTACACCAAGCTTCTTGTACACCTATTAGTTAACGTTTGTCAGATTCCCACTTCAGCCTGGTCTTCGTAATTTCTAGGTTCTGTTCTCCCCCAGATAACGGGAATAACTCTGGGTAAGGGTTAACTTTATTAATTTGTTGATGTGAGGGGCTCGAGGCCTTAGGAAAACAGAACGAAAACATCAAGTAGCGAACACAAAATGACGCGTTGGCTCTGTTTTTCACGCAAAATGTTCTGATAATGGTAACTTTTCAAGGCATATGATTTACATGCATTTAACAAAATTAGTCATAAGATTTCATAACAAAATTTCGTGTGAATTTCATAATATATACAATGATATATTTTATATTTGTAGCAGACTTTTTAGTCGTTGTTCTTGCATTGCCTTAATTACTCCATCCTTAAGTTACTAGTTTCAGCAAAGATGACGCTTATCGTCAAGAACGAAAATAATACACATTAAAGGCCTACCTTCACTAATTCACTCGGAGGCCATATCTGTATCGGTTCGACTTGTTTTGGTGTTTGAGTATGAATACCATAAGTCGCCAGTGTTGCTTGTAAACTATATATCAATGCATTTGTACTTGTTAGATTATATGATCAGAAATTTGCAGGGAAAATTGCATAGTTAAGTTTTTAAATGGTGGTCAACCTCTAATATATTGACAATCAAGAAAGCAAATAAATGACGCTAAAAACTGTTATACACGCGTATTTACCACCAAACAACTCATATTAAAGCCTTGAAGGCAAAAAATCAGGCCCGTTTCAGATGCTGCTCCACTCATGCGCCGAACGTAGTAGTACGTAACTGACAAATTATTAGGTGCGACAAAAGAGCGACGTATGAAATAGTTAAGTGCAGCGAAATTTGGAGCGATAAATGTTCGACACAGTCATGTCGCATTATGTGACTTTGGAACGACAATAGAGAGCTTAAGAGGCTGTCTCTCTAAGAACCAACCAATGACTCTCGGCTCAAAAAATGAAATTCTTCGTTACTTTCACAATGAAATGTATTTACCCCAAGAACAAGCAAACACTATTTGGAATTTGGAATTTTTATTAATTTTTAAAATTTCAGCGATTTTTCGGACCAGCGCCGTCGCGCAGAAAATCCTCTGCCTATATCAGGCATAAAAATTAGCCGAATTCAAATACATATAATTTTAAAAGTATTCAACCAAATTTTATGATTTTTTCACCCACCAACGTGAAAATTATTCTACTTTGAAACTTGTCTTGTTTTATGATGCTTTTACAGAACGATTATGACAAACTTTAGCGATAACAAGCACCGGGTCTAAATACGGCTTTGTACACATATCAAATTCGACTTTAAATTTCTCAAAAGTGGCACCTAACTGGATTCAGTGACTAATATGGTTAAAATAATGGAAGTTTGAAGTACCAACATCCATAATAAAACTTGTTACCAACCGCGATTTGAAGACTCCTGAGCCTCAGAAATTTGTTATCGTCAATTATAGCGTTGTTGAGACGTCAGAGCTTCCAGTCATTTGTGAAATGCGCTGTCGTTTCGGGTTTTTTTTCACACGCGATTTTTCCGTGTTCATGAACATCACAAGTTGTTTTAATTCAAAAAGATTTGGCTCGATGCAGCGAGGTAAACGTTACAGCGAGGTAAGCGAGGTAAAATAGAGTCATTGCTAATTGTGGCACTTCCCGTCATAAACAGTTTAATCGTGCATGCAACAATTACAGAAAACCAGAAACATGACCGTGTAATGCACAGCAATTCCATTAATATATTTGACAATTTCGATTCCCAACTATATATCTTCACATGATACTGTCTATACCTTATGCATAGGGGTAATTTACGCATTAATTAACATTCCCCATTTTAAATACATCGTGAACAGTTTCTACCATTATTCTGGCCGACGTTTCATACAAGAGTCCCCACATGCCCTGGCCTAACACCCCCAGTACGATTCTGCCCCAAACCCAACCCTACTCCAACCTCGCGTTTTTGTGACGTCATTTGAAAACTCTTGTATGAAAATAAACTTCACCCTTTATTAGCTCTCCTTAAACAATTCCAGGTGAAGTTGATATAAAGGTCCTCGATCAAATGACATCACAATAGAGGTGAGGTGGGTGTAGGGTAGGGGTCAGGATAGAGTTGGGGTGGGGGTCATTTGGAGACCATTTCATATATGACTCTTCTATTAAATTTCAGCCAAGCCCTGGTTGAAACACTAATCAAAACCCCTATTCAAACTGGATCTTTTTATAATAATCAATATCTATAGTAATTTTCAAGTTTAAATTAATTTCCAATCGTGCAGAATAGACATACAGAGTTCAGATGAATAAATATCAGCATTCACAATAATTTACGGGTTTTCCCCGAGTAGCTAATTTAATTTTAATACGAAAGCGTACCACGTTCGCCTCGCTGCATCGATCGAAATCTTTTCGAATTAAATCCACTTGTGATGTTCATGAACACAGAAAAATCGCTTAACTACGATGATATTAACGGCTTGTGTAAAAAAACGGAACAACAGCGCATTTTACAAGTGACTGGAAGCTCTGACGTCTCAACTCCGCTATAATTGAAGCTAAACAAAATACCCAAATTGTATCAAATTTCAGAGGCTGTCCAGTCTTCAAATCGCGGTTGGTAACAAGTTTTATTATGGATATGGGTACTTCAAACTTCCCTCTTTTTAACCATATTAGTCGCTGAATCCAGTTAGGTGCCACTTTTGAGAAATTTAAAGTCGAAATTGATATGTGTACAAAGCCGTATTTAGACCCGGTGCTTGTTATCGCTAAAGTTTGCCATAATCGTTCTGCAAAAGCATCATAAAACAAGGTAAGTTTCAAAGTAGAATAATTTTCACGTAGTGGCGGGTGAAAAAATCATAAAATTTGGTTGAATACTTTTAAAATGATGTGTATTTGAATTCGGCTAATTTTTATGCCTGATATATAGGCAGAGGATTTTCTGCCCGATGGCGCAGAACCGAAAAATCGCTGAAATTTTAAAAATCAATAAAATTTCAAAATTCCAAATAGTGTTTGTTTGTTCTTGGGTTAAATACATTTCATTGTGAAAGTAACGAAGATTTTCATTTTTTGAGCCGAGAGTCATTGGTCGGTTCTTAGAGAGACAGCCTCTTAAACAAGGGACGTGTTGTCAAAATAACGTCGCTTGTTAAATTTTATATTTTGACCAAAGAACCGGCGAATGAGTGAAGCGTCACCTGAATTGCGCCTGAGATAAATGTCTTTCTAGCCTGCGTGGCAGGCGTTTAGTGCGGGCGGGAGAAGAGAGGGCGTCCAGGCTAATGTCTTTCCTGTTAGAGAGTACGGGCATGTGCTGCACTGTCCCGCTTAGTGATGAAATCCACCTGGTGGAAAACTCAGTACCAAGACACAGAGGTATTTTTCGGTTGAGATTTTACCTGCGATTTTCCGCGATTAATGACACTTGCACAACTAAATCAGATTCGATCACCTAAAATGCAAGAGAATTTTAAATAAATAATAATTTTAGTAAGCGACTTGTTTTGCGTTTTGCAGATATAAACAGTAGTGAATAGCTATCCACCTCAAGAATGCTAAATGTAATTCAAAGATTTTACAAAGCAAACTCTTTCCCTGGATAACTTGACAAGCTAGTTTTCCTTAACAAGTTGCTCACGAGTTCACTTGCTCGTGTGTACGACGGACGACCTTTCCTCGACAATTTTTACGCCTCCACTATTTAAGTACGTGAACGATTTCATAATTATTATTATTATTATTATTATTATTATTATCTTTAGAACATCTTTATACACGGTAACTAATCAACCATATTACCTATCAGTATTTACAAAAATTATAAAGGTTGTTTTTCATTAGGCCGTGTTACTAAATACAAATTAAAACTCGAAATACTATTATATAAACTATTATAAAAATATTAAAAGATACTAAGAAATGTTTGGGTCGAAGCGATACGTTAAATATATATATTACAAATGAATTAAGTAGATTTAAAATTTTTAGTTTTATAGTTCCAGTCTTTAGCAGCAGCATATCCGAATGTCCTTTTCATTGAATTTGTTTTAGGCTTCGACAACATCAGCATCTTGTTATTACTTCTTAAATTATATTTATCAGAATTTGAGATTTTAAACATAGTTGAAACGTTTTCAGGACATTGGTTTGAAAGGGCTTTGGCCACATATGCTAATTTTTGCTCCTTTCTTCTCTCTTCGAGTGTTCTCCAATTTAATTTCTTTAAAATATCCGTGGAGCGAATTTCATAGGTATCACCTGTGATTACTCTAGCTGCACGGTTTTGTAGTCTCTGTAGCTTTTCTTTTGAACCTTCGCCACAGTTTCCCCAAACCATGGAGCAGTAATCAAAACTCGGTTGCACTAAAGCCTGATAAATATATTTAAGAGTTTCAAGAGAGACAAATGGCTTTGCACGGCGCAGCATACCAATGCCCTTCGATACCTTTTTACTGATGTTGTCGATTTGCTCATTCCAACATAGATTGTCATCAATCAGTACACCTAAAGTCTTTTTGGAATAAACCTGTTTCAATAGTTTTCCCCCGCATGATACGCTGGTGTTTTTTTGAATTTTAGCTAGTCTTTGACGGGTTCCAATGATCATGTATTCTGTTTTTTCAATGTTTAAAGTTAGCTTGTTTGAAAGAAGCCACTGGTGAATATTTTTCATTTCAGAATTTAGTGCTTCCTCCAAATTATTAATGCTATCTGAACATACTGTAAGATTTGTATCATCTGCATACATTGCCGGACAGGATTTATCCAAGCAATTTGGCAGGTCATTGACGTATAATAAAAACAAAAGGGGACCAAGGTTCGATCCCTGGGGAACCCCACAACGTATTTTCCTTTCGTTCCTACAAACTAAAAATAGCTGAAACTGTCTGCGATACTACACACAAGATTGATGCATGGAAATGGAATCTCGAAGATGAGTGCGAAGCAACGTACTATACCGCGAAATAATACCTATCAAGTTTTCCGTTCACGGTTCAATACAATTTTCTTTGTTCAAAAACTAGCATGATTGGATTTTATTTATTTTTTTAAATTTATTTATTAACTTTGCCGGCATAAAATTACACAGAGTGGCTGGGACACCGCAACAGCTTATTGACAATTACTGCGGGCCTAAACACACGAACGTATCATGTTACGGAGCTTTCGAAATATATTTAGCAATTAAGAAACGAACAAGATTTCGACATAACTTGGTCAATACTAAAACACGCTGTTTCTTATACCGGAGAATCAAATGAATATGTAATTTGTGTTTAGGGGAACAACTCTGTAGTTTGCAGGACTATATTAAACAATTTTTACTTAACAAAAAATCAGAAATAATTTTGACCTGTAATTATAAAAATAATTCCTGGTAAACAACGTCAACGTTAACAATGCAATGAATGCATGTATTGTCTGACGCACACGTTTCTGGCCGTATAAATTAAGCAACCTATTTTTCGAAATGTTTCAGCCAACTGATGATTCCTCTTGGATGAAACAGGTAATTCTGTAAATATACAATACGTTGCTCCCCAAAAAGATCCGTATTTAGCTCTCTGTGGTAATACTTGTCAAGGAAAACGAGCTCGTTACATATTACATAGGCTATACATTACTGCATAATATACATACTGGTCTTCGACTAAACGCCCTGCATGCTTTTATCGTTTTGAAACATATCCTTCATGAATACTGGCTTACCTTGAATGAAGAATATCTATGGTTTATGTAACCATAGTGACCGAGATTGGATCTTCCCTTGTGCCTTTCCAACGGATCCAGATGACCAATATCGATTAAATCTGCTTCTAAATGTGTTGGGAAAAGAAACATTTAGGAGGATAATTCACCTTGTATTGGTAATAGTATGGTTTCGAGTGAAACTTGAAAAAAATTACATGCACGAGCGGGTTTTTCAAAGACGATTAAAACTGCACAAGTGCAATTTAAAGTCCATGAAAAACTCAAGCCTGTTTGTTTATGCCTTCCCTCTGAACTAGCGAGTATTAAGGATTAATTAAAAATAGTACTTTCCTGGCATTTAGACTTGAGTGTTGCATTGCGCTCTGTTTGCTGGGTAAGGTATTAATAATGCACACACATCAAGACATTCAACACGTAGTGGGGTTGATCTGGCTGGGGGTTACGTTTCCAACACCTAATAACCAACCTATCTACCCAATGTCTCATGCAGGCGGAAAGGCATAAAATTCCTATCAGCAAGCAAATATTCTATTTTTCCCAATTGGACGAGAAACCATGCTATTATAAATATAAATGATACACATTTGCAGAAGTAATTTTTAGCCACTTGCATGCATGAAACACACGCGAAATAAATAATTTACTCACTCATTTGAATGGCACGACAACTTAGTACACGTTATCGAAAGTCAAAATTTGAATCAGAATGTTTTTTGTTTTGGCATTTGTACTGTATTTATTTTTTGGCACTGTACTTCGATAAAATTGCACTCCTCTTAGCCAATCAGAATCGAGTAATTTTCTATGTATATTATTGTTAAAAAGTACAATCTTGCTGATCTCATGTATAATATAAAGTCGGGCCTTATGTAGACGAATAGCAGAACAAAATACAGAAAGAAGTGCTATACATATATGAAGCACTTGTTTCTATGAAGTGCTCCTACTTGGAAATTGGGATGATCAGGACAGTTGAGAACAGTCATGTTACTGTGTTCTGTCCCCGACTATTAGTGTTCCGAAAATCCGGTGTACTCCGAAAAAAATGGAGCAAGTTCGAGAAAAATATCGTTATGCCCATGCGCGAATGCATGCAAGCCGAGCGTGGACTGAACCTATCAAATACATGATCAATATACAATCTTGCATGGACATATAACTGGTCGAGACCGCTCTATACAAAATTCGCATACACCTTTATACGCTAAAGTGTTGAGATTGTGCCAAACCAGTCTAGATATTTTATTCACTTCTTTTCTTTTTAATTTAAGCTTAAGTTGCTTTGATTTTCGTATACTTACACATTTTTGCATGTGTCGACATACTTAGCAAATTGACCAAACCCGCCAAAGCAAGCCGAGTACGGACCTACGTTTAGGCATGGCACTGAAATACAGCTCCAAGTTATGGAAATAGTTTATTGAAGTGCACGTGACGGTGATGGGTGATGCATGGCACTGAAATATAGCCTCAAGCTACGAAAATGGCTTATTTCATATAACATTTGCCAGCATAGAACGTGTTTTCTTTGAATTAGGTAGTACATTTAGATTTCGTAAATAATGAGGAGGGAGGTATTAAAATAAGAGCGATATGTATAAACTTACCTAGCAGCTTCACAATAATATATAGTGATTGATCCCAAAGGCTGACATATTCTTTTGAAGCAGGCATTTTCTCTTGACTTCCAGGCTCCTTCCGCTCATCTCTAATAGCGAATTCTGGCACGTAGTAATACTTTGGCACAACACCAATATCTGTAAGGTAATATCCAGGCCTCGTCATTAAGATCAAGAGCTTATCAAGCACTGCTTTCAGAAATTTCTACATGTCAATCATTTTACTTACTATCGATTTCGTCTTCATGTCGTTTACCTGTAAAAAATGCATAGTATATAAACAATTTACGCCAATTTTCGACCATGCACACTGTATACTGATCGACGTTTCGACTAATGGTCAGCCATCATTATGTTAATGCTTCCTATGTACAGTACAGGTGTTACCGAAAGAATATCACAGTGTTTAATATAAACGAGTAGGAGTGTTTTATCACATATAAAACACTCCGCTACGCGTCGTGTTTTATATGTGATAAAACACTCCTACTCGTTTATTAACATTACTTTAAACATTACCTGTTTCATGAGAATCCCACATTATTGTTTTGTCGAGCATTTTAGAATACTTCTCAATAGCATTCCTATCATTACTAAACCAAGCTTTGAAGAAAAACAATTTTATATTTACACGCTTAAAAATATATGTGAAGCATTTCTTAAATATAAGTAAGTGGCTGATACCAATGCAATTGAATTACAATATATCATTCTCACCATTCAGTAATAGATAAATGTAGAGACATGGAAATTCACATTCAATTCCTTCAAACAACTAAACAATTGAAAGAAATAAAATAAAAACTACTCTGTAAGTACCATTTACACCATGAGCGGCCGTGTTGTATCCGGATATACAAACTCGATCCGAAATAAATTGTTTGTGAAGCATCTTGATGAGAACATCAGTATTCTTCAACATTATCAGCATGATTTTGCAGATATACATGTCAAACTCTTTCACGGTCATGAATTATTCACGAGTTTCATATTAAACAATTGTACATCACAAAATTTATTACAGTCAAAATTCCACAAAAGTTTAATATCAACTTTTATGCGTTAGTATATACAGTGAATCATACGAAAAGTGCATTCTTTGTCACAACTTCATGTATAAAAACACAGATTGCCGTATATTTCCTTATTTTATCGGTAGCGCTATATCAATAAAACAGAACAACGTACAGAAAATCAGAACAAAGTACAGAAAATCAGAACAAATTACAGAAGCAGAAGCGGGAAGGTTCTTGTACAGTAGTTCGACTGTAACATGTAACATGTAATAGGCTGTTTGGTCTGTTCTAAATACAGTTAATACTGTATCTATACTGTAGCATAAGATATCAACAGAATATTTAGAAATTACAGACTGGTGAAAATAACCAATTTGAGATGGTCGTCTCAGATGCATTTTCTTCAAAATTACCGAAAAGTTGGTGAAAATAACCAAATTTTTGGTTGTTTTAACCAATAAAATACTGGTCAGTGAAAGTGTTATTTCTTTGTTAACATGCAGGAGAAATTTATTCAGTCTAGATTGTTTTTAGAGTGATTATAGTAAGGGAAATATAGGCAGCATCTTGCACTGGAAAAAATAATGAAATTCATACTATGGAATCATAAAATCCATCACAAAACTCCATAGGCATAGCATATCCATACTTTTTCAATACTATACCCATAGTATGGAAACTACAATTAGTGTGAAAATTGGATTTCTATACCATTTTTAACTAACTCCATATACTATTTCCATGGTAAGGACTTTGAAAATAATTTCCAGTGTTTCAACAAAACCGATTTGGGAAAGCTTTATACTTATGTATTAGGTGGTGACAGAATAGGAGATAATTTTTTTTAACAACCAACAAGACCATATGAGCTAGCAAGTTTTGTAAAAGGTTTTGTAGAGTTAAGGTCACAGATTAATATTGCCCTTGTAACTACTACGCAATAAACGCATCATATATATACCTTGAGTTCAGAACTGTAATATGTTGGTCTGTTAGGATCTTCGACAGCAGTTTTGTATCCATCGCGGAAAAATCGTTTCAATCCATACTCACCCTGTGCAATGGAAATAATTGTTGAAGTTATGGTATTTAACACACTACTAGCAACAAGGTATGCCAGAAAATCCAGAACAAATATACAGTATTTACTTTTAAATTAATTTATTATCGTTTTCTAATTTCTTTGAAGCTTCCTATATACAGCTCCCTAACCTTGAGAAAAAGGTTAATATCGGCAACCACATTATTTATTAAAATGAATCCTACTATAACAGCCAACTGTGAAATCGTCATATCAACTCAATAGCTGACCAAATATGGAGTTTTGACATAATATTAACAGAGTGACGTCATAACGGTGGTATGGAAAAATCATATCAAAGCTATGACGTCATGTTGTGGAAATACGAATACGAAATGTGGGAATACGAATACGATTTGGAGAAATTTTAAGGCTCTTTTCCACTCATCGCAAAAACAGCTCGCAGTGAGCTTGCGAGCACTAGCGAGTAACTCGCAGCAAGCTTGCGAACATTCGCAGCGAAGTTAGTTGAACAACATTTTCTGATCACGCGAACGAAGAAGACCAGTAGTCAATGGAAAGCGTTGAAAATATCACGTGACTAAAGTGAACATACTCGAGAACGTTTTACATGCTTAAAAGGCGCCGATTTAAAGCGGCCGCTTTTGCAAAAACGTAAAATAGTCACGCGAGATGATGAAGTATGGAAATTGACCTATGCGAGCTGCTTTTACGATGAGTGGAAAAGAGCCTTTAGTCACAAAAAATATCAACAAAAACAGCCACAAACGGTTTTGAAACACCTTAAGGTGCATATGAAAGAAAAAAGGAACGATTTTCTGCAAATTGGAAAAAGAAGCAAGCATTATTTCGACTCGTTGAAGCTGTACAGGTGCGGACG